CACCATTAGATGAGAAATTGTAGAGCGGGTCCCGCAAAACAGTTTCCATTCTTTTATCTTCTTTTTTCTTTTCTCCGAGATAATTAGATGTATTCAAATGAACCCGGAAATCCTTTCACGTTGTAACTTCAAGTGAATTTTGCACGTGCTTCGGCTAATTTTTCCTTCGCGGAGTGCGAACGTCATGTATCTCGAACTACTGCAATTTGCGAGTTTTCTCCTCTGTCGAGAGGCGAATTCAGAAACGCGTAAAATTCTCTTTGTGATTAAAACGAAAATCCAAATTACTTGCATTGCATGTAGAGATGTGCAAAAAGAAAAATATGAATATTAGTGAAATATTCCTGCTTATATAAAATATATAAAGCAAACATAAACATAAAAATAATATTCTGTTATATATATGTATATTATTATTGTAATTAACATTAACTGATAAATTATATAACATATAAGTTATTAACGTACAAGTTAATATCTATAATAAATTTACGAAACCTAATATTTTTCTCATTTAAAATTGGGAATATATATATATATATAATATTCAAAAAAGCAATTTATTAACTCAAAAAATACTGTTTATATAATAACGAAATAACTTAATGACAACCCTCTCTTCTCCCTGCAAAAAAAACTCAGAAAAAGCAATGAAATTGTTAAAACAAATTGTAACAAAAAAATAAACGTAGCTGATAATATCAATAAAATCGAATTTAATATGTACAGAGAGAGAGAGAGACATATAACAATAATAATTAAAGAAAATAAATAATAGTGAGTAACAAAGAGTTAAAAATTAAATATTTTATATCAATGTGTTACATATGATACTTTTTCAGTTTTTTTCAACGTACATGATAAAAAAAAATATCTGTCTTGTTGTATTGCTGTGTTCTATTGCAGTAACTCAGAAATTCATGCGTTTAAATACGTGTCAAAGTCGATCTGACCTGACCTAGAAGAGTCTGGTGGAGTGATATGTTGTTCACGAAATTGCGGATGAAACGTGGTGCGAATGAACGGTGTTCCGAACTGCAAAACTTCCAAATGTGTATCTACGGCCAGTTAGTGTATCGCCCGCCTGCGGTCCAGGGACCTCGAAACTTTCCTCGAACGAACTTTATCGCTGCCGATTTTTCACGACTTCCACCCGTCAATGGCGCGACACGCCCATGGGAGATGAGAAAATCGTCCGGTTTGCCGAATCTTTAACGATGACAGTGGATATAGTACGCGACAAGTGGTTGGCACGAACAAAAGAGGTTCTGCCATCATGAGAAATCACGTTCTTTTACTCGTATGGGAGAAAATATTGGATGTTACTTAGGAAACTGTATTTTCATGGGCGTGCCCAGAATATTTTCCAGAGGAGGAGAAAGGATTAACAATTCTGTTATTACATAAACAGGAATTTTTTGACTTAACGAATTGTTTTTTGAATATTTTAGAGCTTGTAATGTCTTTTTCTCATTCTTCACTTTGAATGAGAAAAATATTAGGTTTCGCAAATTTATTTTTTTCTTCGAAGAATGTGTAGGCACACAATACAGTAGGTAATTAAAAATGAAATATACAATTGTGAATGGAGTACTCATTAATATCTCAGCGTATATTCTGTTTTTCTGTTAAAAAATATTGAGAAAATTTTCCTTATATATCAGATACTTTGTCAAAAGTGTAACTAACGGAAGTTTCCGAAATTATTTACATGATCATATAAATAAAGGGAGAGGAGAAGATAGAAAAACAAATTTCCTGCGACAACAAAAATTCAAAGTAAAAAGTAAAGTTATATTTTTTATAATTATAATGAAAAAAATAAATAAAAAATTTCGGGAGGGAGTTAGAACCTTCCCCCTCCCCCTCTCCTTAGATACACCTATATGTATTTCCACTTTAACCGTCTACACAATGAGACTTCTAAGATGTAAAACTTAATTAGCTTTAAGTTCCATAGTCAATTATTCTTTCCACATTCGATTGTAATTGATTAATTTTTTACGGCTGGAGACTTAAAGCTTAAGTTTTATGCTGCAAAATTTCATTTTGTCAGTAGATACCGCTTTATGTAACGTAGAAAATAAGAATACGTCGTCAACGAAGCTCCGATCGTAGATTATTTTGAATTACCAAACTTATCGCAAGCAAAAATGGATACATTTAGTTATTTCCGTTGATAATTTTATCTCGAAACAGATTCTGTCAAGCGTTTGTATGCAAAGCTTCGCCGTGAGAGGAATCAGATTTACGTATGAGCATATAACCGATTATTAATTTTGATCGTGAAAGGGACGAATCTCGCCTAATGCGCGCACGTATTATATACGCGTTCGGAAATTAGTACGAGCACGTGCGAATATACGTCCTGTACCTATTTAGTTAGATTAAATCAATGGAGGATCGGCCGAGAGATAGGTCAATGTACGAAAATCCACGGACGCGCGCAGCAGTCGCATTATGTCCCTGGGACATCGTAATCGCATTAATTGCATTGACCGACACCGGGAGCATCGGGTGCACAAACGCAGTTGGACGCGGCTGGGAATTCGCTGCGGACAAGTTCGGCGACGGAAAATTTCCAATATTTGTTTCGCGCTCCAAGTTGACAGGCCCCATTCCGAATTGATGGCGACCGTATCGAGTGCCGCTGCAGCAGAGATGAATTCAGTCGTGGAACAGATGGTTCGCACCAAATATCCAAAATCGTTCGTAGTTCGCGGTGCTACCTTTTGCGAACGTGGTCAGACAAACCTTGAAAATATCCCTAAAGTATTTCAAGTAAAGATCCCACTTGGGATGGAAAAAATGGTTTTATGCTAAGTATCTAAAAAAATTAACTAAATGCAGATCTTAAAATAATTTCATTAGAGTACTATCAAAATAATGCAGGAGGTTTAAATTAAAGTTGTTAGACTGTCCACATTTTTTGTAGTGTTGCTTATTATCATACTTGAGTTCTTTACATAATTATTTTGATATCTATAGTTTAATAAGATTATTTTGAGATCTGCATTTAGCTAAAATTTTTAATACTTTGGCAAAATCATTCTTTCCGTGTAAATAGGATTTTTATTTCAAATAAAATTATTTTTATATCTGGATCTACCTAAATTTTTTAATACTTTAGGAAAAACGTCTGTGTATAGAATATGACGTCTTATGTGCTAAGGATACATATGCAAAAATAAAGATGTTTTGGAAAAATTATTTACAACGATTAAATGTCAATCGATTTTGCGGACTCTTCTCATGCGACAAATATGTAGTCGCGGTGATGATAATACGCTTATTTCGAAAGCGCAGAAATGCATAAAGATCGGATTATTGTTGAAATCACGTGAATAAAAAGTATATTCGCACATCTGATTTGTATTCAATTTCACTGACGCTCACATAGCATATTTGAGTCGATCGCTCGCGCTAATATTTATGATTCAGAGATATGATCAACCGTGATTAAACTAAATTCCTGTAAATCAACGATGCGTTTCCCAAGCGTAGTCGAATATGATCATATCATAGTACACCATTGTCGATTGCATGGTAGTTTTATGAAAGAAGCATGTAATGATGTAACGATCATTATATGTAACATAATTGTTGAATAATTCAATAAAGAAATAGCTTGCAATAATTACGAAAAGAAACAAGTTAAAATAAAATATTTATATATCTGTGTTGGGAGATGAGAGAGAAGAGAATTGAGAAAACGGGATTTGTACTGAACCTCGATTTCGCGAAACGAAAGCTATGCGAATAACCGATTTGTTGAACGGATCGATGACTAAATAATTCCTCGGTCACATCTCCAACGAATACAAGTTGAAAAAACAAATTAAATCAGTATTTGCTCAATAATTTCGTGTCGACCAAACAAAATTAATCAGACGTGGAGATTAAAATACATCGCAAATTTTTACTTTTAAATCAAATACGAGATGCGCCAATTATGGTCAAAGTTATAGGTGTATGTTAGACTAATACATATTTTAAATAAATTTATCACAGAAATATAACTGCGCGCCGATTACTTTCGGACTTTCAACATAATTTGAAATACAAAATAACCTCCCCAAATTTAATTAGATCGTTGATTTGATGCTATCTTAAAATCTGTAAAGAACTTTTGTTTTTAAATTATTTTTAAATTCGTTTCATTTAACGCGCAATGACTTGATTAAATGTCAAGTGTTTAATATTCTAGTTACTAAATATGTTTGATAATAACTAATTACTTGTTCTCTTAGATACACAGGGACGTGCTGAAGATAAGACGACACTGTCTACGAACTCAAGCGTGTCCTCTTAGCACTTAAGTAGTTGCATGAACCTCATAAGCAGTATTCATGACGCTGTTTACTTTACAGTGGAATAAGTAGTATAAGTGACGTAAATATAGTATGTGCTACCAGAAACTCTCTTAAACAAGATAAATTTAACAAGAGCAGAAACGACTGTTCGGATAAATTTGTAATCAGCTTTCGGCGACAATTCTGATTGATTAATTTTATGTAATTATCAATTTCTCTTAATTAACTGATAGTTCCAGTCCGAATTTAGATAAAAAAAACTCTGTAGTTGCATTAACCTTATCTTTATTTATGTATAGAAATTAAAATTGATTAAATTATTTCTATCGCTTTTAAAAGCTTTTCGGTTTGTGAGAAATGGCTTATATATATATAATGGCTATATATATATATATATTTACTTCAATAAATAACGTTTCTCTTTTTTCTACATTATAATCAAAGAAATAAAAAAAGGTAGGGAAGGAGAAAGAGGTTTCAAATGTGGGACGAGGCATATAAATATAAAAAACAAACTGTCAGAGGCAAACGACGTGGGTGAAATCACGCGTAAGATATTGCAATACGAGTTAAGAGTACCGCTAGCAAAATAGGGTGAACATCTGTCGCTCAAATAAGAGCTGCGTGCAATTTGCAAGCTCCCTCTTCGATAAGAACGTCGGTCGTCTAAATCAAATGATGTTTTACCTCGCGATTGAGCGGCTTCGCCAAAGTGATGACACCGGTACGCGGGTTGACGACGAAATGGTCCGTGAGTTGTATGCCATATTTCACTGGCGATCCTTCGGGATCGTGGCCCTTCAGGACGAATACTTCCGTCCCGACCTTGGTCGATTCCGAGAGTGGTAAGCCCGTAGGGTATCCCCCGGCTTCCAGGATAGGTGGCTCGTTCACGTTGTTACCCGCTGGAACAACAAAAAAGAAATGTTTGTTTTCGAAAGTTTCTTTTGTTGGCTATACTGTGATCACCCACACGCCCGCAAAATCTCTTCCTATATACCCTACCAAATTTATTTATTCCTCTCGTTAACTCCCCTTACACGCTGTGAGCTGCGTTCGTTCGAAACGAAATGTTTAGGGTGTCCCGAAAGTTTATTCTATCAAACCGTTACAGTTTCTCTCTCTCTGAATTATTAAACTCAGAGAAAATGTAAAAAAAATTGAATAATGTTTTAGAAATGCATAAAAACTTTATTCATTTATCATTAACTCATTATAGAAGTTTAATTTAGATTAAACAGGTTTGTAGAACAAGTAAAAGAAGTAAAAGATTAATTGCCGTAATTTGCATTATTACATTTTATTACTTCCTTTGTCCGAAGATGTCAATTATTTGACCCTACAAACGTATTTTTTTGGTCTACAATACGTTAATATTTAAAACGTCCGATTTCTACGATGAAGATATATATATATATAGAGTAATTAGGACTGTGTATTAGCTATTCCGTGAGTCAGTGAATTCAATCACTAAGTACGTACATAGTGTTGGGGTCGCGCATTTATTGTGCATAACCGCTGTCGGATCGATTTAGATGATTAAGGCTACACGAGCTAAGTAGATTATGATTGATGTATCCGTTGCGCGGAAATCGATTTTTGCCCGCCAATATCGCCCGCCGGACCTGTCGATAATCAATTTCGCTGCGAGATCCGGAGCTTAGTGTTTTCATACTCCTTTTGCGACAGGCGCAATCAATACGGAAATCCCAATTCAGTGCGTCGAACAAGAAAATATATCGCGTCGTCAGAGAAGCTTTCCCAGTTCTTATATCACATTATATCATTATATCGTTTGAAGACGTGAACAAGAGAAAAGAATGCTTTGTCACAAGAGACAAATGCTTCGGGAAACGGATTCTTGAGCTTAAAACCTAATAACTCTTGTATTTCTCTGCGAAAGAAGAAACTATCGAATTATTCATATCTAAGGAAAGCATTTATATTACATATTCTTTTTCTGAAGAAAGGAACGTCGATATTTTGTACTGCATACTTGAATGAAATATCTTTATTCCTCGCGCGTGTACAATACATATTTCCAAATCGTTCGTTTTAAAGAGAAGTCTTTCTCTTACAATTTTTCTTACATTCGTGTTAAATGTTTTATAAGCAGATGATATTATGGCTACGTGGAAAAAACAATTTGATTGAAGTACATAAAAATTTAGCTAGAAGATCTGAAAATAATGTTATTGAATTATCAAAATAGTTACATAAGAATTTCAAGCATGATGAGCAATAATGCAAAAAGTTTTAACGTTCCAGAAGCTAATTTTAGTGTTCTGCATAATTATTTTGATAATCCAAAACAAGATTATTTCCTGATCTGTAGCTTGCTAAACTTCAGCAAAACCGTGCTTTTCGCGCGATATTCATAATCGGATCTTATTTTAAGACTGTCTAAATAATGTTTAAAGTGCTAATATGGCTCTATGGCTTGTGTCAGCTTAAGACTGTGTTTAAGACGATCTTGAATATAAGAATTGACTACGAATACCTATATTATCTAGAAAAAATTGTAGTGAAAAATGTATGTCCTTTTTTTCTCTTTCTTGTAATTATTTTTGCGGCATAAAAGTGTAAATTAAAACAAAGGATTCGTAATCAAAATATCGACGAAGTGAAAGAAACGGAAATCAGTGACGGAACACCCTGTACAATCACCTCAGCCCTGGAAAACCGTTGGATGAGCTTTGTTCGCGGCGAGTCACGGCACTTCGAGACTCAAAAGAGCCTGGAGGTCCCAGGCCGCTAATTCGACGCAAGCATCGGGGTTCGACCTCGTAAGCCTGAAAAGTCGTAAAACTATTACCAAGTTCGGGCGTACGAAGTAGCCCTCCCGAAGCCGCAGAAACTTCTTTTCGAACTTCCGCAGTTTCTAGCCGGAAATTGTGGCGGACGTAATAGATACATCGCGGACTTTAGGATCGACCAACGGGGCACGCTATTTTTTTACAGACCTCATTCGATGCAAGGATACTGTAAGACTGCAGCTGTGGCTTTCCGCGCTTCTCTCTTCTTCTCTCTTCCTATCCTCTTTTTTCGTTTCACTCC